AATTTAGTATTTTCTTCTGAAAGCGCAGAGCCTTTGTTCTCCATGCAGTTGTACAGAGCAAGCTGAAATGGAGAACATCTCTGATAGTACTTCAGTTTCCAGAAAATGCATTTATGAGTTTATACATGGGCTTAGTTTAGTTCCCAACTTTTTCTTCAAACTTCTAACTTTTCCATCACATCAAAACTTTTCTACACACACAAACTTTCAACTTTCCGTCACATCGTTCCAATTTCAATCAAACTTTCAGTTTTGGCGTGAACTAAACACACCCAGGTCAGGTAACCAATTTATTCGTCATAGTAGAAAAAAAATATATTGGCAAATCTTGTCAACAATTGTGTGACGAAGAACATCGCTATAGATATAGATGATCCGTGGAGAGCAGTTTCTTTGTCTTACCGAAAAGAAGCCTTGGAAGGCCAAAATGTTGATCGATTAGCCACATACATTCCAGCATTTGAGAAATCTAATCAAACACTTATTTACCGCACAAAGCAGAAGACTGTTGGTAGTTAAAGTTTGATCCTTTCCAAAACCACCGGAACTCAATTTTGCAACTATCAAACACCGTGTCTGCTTTGTGCAGTGCCAGTAGATTCACCAATTAGATTCCATCCAGGATTCTCATGCTGACACATGGTGCTAGCTTGGACGGTTGGACCTTCTTCTCATTGTAGTACTCCCTCCGTTCCAAAAAAAAAAAAAGGCAAAGCCTGGATTTTCATGTCTAATTTTAACTGTCCATCTTATATGAAATTTTTTTATAATTCGTATTTTCATTGTTGTTAGATGATAAAACATGATTAATATTTTATGCGTGACTTGTTTTTTTTAATTTTTTTTTATATTTTTTTCTAAAAAAATGTTTGTCCTTTTTTTGGGACGGAGGGAGTACGGTCCAAACGTAGTGAGCCTTTTTTAATTGAGTACACACACAGTTTGATCAATTGATTAAACAAGTTGATTAGACAGGCGATTTACAGTGTGTGCCCCAGTTTGTTAATCTCACCGGAAAGGAGGCTTGAAAGGGCAAGATGCTGATCATCGACTAGCCGCGTTACGTCCTTGCATGTCGCTGGAATCTAAGAGCATATTAGCCCGCTGTAAATATATTTTAATAAAATAAAAGATGAGAAAGAAGAGCAATGGGCTACAGATATATAGCCAGTTGCAGCGCGGTCTCAAAGACACAACGCGTGTATGATAGGTGGGACTATATATTAATAGTATAGTAAACAACTATTGTATGAATTAGCTATTAGATTGGCTATAAATGAATTGAAGCTAGTAGTTGTCTATACTATTAAACTCGCTCTAATCGAGATCCAATTGAGCTGTCGAAATTCGGGACAATCCATTATCCATCCGGATAGCATGCATCGATGCTCGAACGACTAGAAACGTTCTCGATCACACTTCATCTGTCGAAATGTTTTAACTTAATTGCTGGACCATTAAGCATTTCATGACGTCTTACTGCGCAACCCGTCTTTATTCCTGCTTTGGGTTTTTATTCCTGTTTGTTGAAATATAACATCCGGTTCAGTTAAAAATAAAAATCATGTCAGGAATGTGTTTGCTCATTTGCTACCTCTAAATTGCAGTCTATAAGGCTTCCTCGGTTTTGTATCTACCAAAATAGTTGTAGTGCTAAAACCTATGCAAGTTTTAGCACCGCTAGTGTTTTGATATGGTACCATACTAAATTGCTATGTTCGGATTGATGTCAATTAGGAGCTAAATTCTATATTATGGTGAAGAAAGCTCCATAATGATATCAAATTAAATATGGACATTACCAACAATTTAGCTTCAAATCAAACTAGCGCATTTATTATTAAACCTAAACAAAAATTGGAAGAGCACATTTTAACATCAATCCAAAATTACTCATATACTAACTTCAGAAGTTCCTATGAGGTGCCAACTCAATATCAGATGATCAGAGGTTTTAATTACCCTCTTGCTTGGACAAAACACCTTCTGATTGTGCAGTTAATATTCACTTCATGTTACTTCCTCTGTTTCACAATGTAAGTCATTCTAGCATTTCTCACATTTATATTGATGTTAATGAATCTAGATAGATATAGCATCAATATGAATATGAAAAATGTTAGAATGACTTGCATTGTGAAACGGAAAGAGTATTATGCAGCACTTGCTGGACCACTTAAGGACTCCAGGTCCGGCAAATCTGGTTCCTTTTGCTTGTGTATTCGCATCAACTGGTACCATATGTCCATATGTTCTAGGATTGGGCAGGATGAGTCCAATCCTAAAGTTTTTGGGCCAGGCTGAGACTGGAAATTCTGCAGAGCCTGATAGTAGATGATTAAGTTCAGTTGAGGTCCCTCAATTGTCGTTGAGTCTGAAATTGGTCCCTAATTCGCAATACCAGATATGATGTGTTTCTCAACTTATAAAACCTGTACAAATAAAGTCCTAAATGGTTTGGATAGTAATTTCAGCTGATGTGACGTCCACGTGGCTGGTTTGACTTGATCCTCGTCCTACGTGGCACTGGAAACAAAATATAAAAATTAAAAACAAAAATAAAAAATGTGATACCCATATGTCAATCAGATAAAAGATAAAAAAAATAGTGGGTCCCACCTCCTCTCTATCTCCACGGATGGTGGCGCCTCCTTCTCCCTTCTTCCTCCCGGCCATCCCTCCTCCCTCCTCGAGCTCCCTCGTTGGCGAGCTGCCGCCACCTTCAACCATAGCAGCCGAGCATGGAGGCCGAGCACCACCGCACCAACAACATGGAGGCCTACCGCCAGTGGAAATTCCCCTCCCTCGCTTCTTTTGCTGTGGCCATCGCCACCACCGTGCCACTCGTTGCGCCGTTGAGGAAGAGGAAGGCAAGGTGGCTATGGGCATCAGCGAGAAGCTCAAGGAGGGAGGAGGGAAGGTTGACGAGCCCCCTATGCCGCTCGGCCTCCATGTGAGGTGCGCCATTGCCATCGAGCTTAATCTCAATCCCGCTGGCCTCTAGACTCCTCTGATGTCGTCGGGCACCACCGCATCTGGGGTGAGGAGATGGGAGAGAGGAGGACGCACCACTGTGTGGAGATAGAGAGGAGGGCGGTATCCACATTTTTTATTTTAAGTTTTAATTTTTTATATTTTACTTCCAGTGCCACGTCACTACCACATAGGACGAAGATCAAATCAAACTAGCCTCGTCAGACGAAACTGCCATCCAAACCGTTTTGGTACCTTAGGCTGTGCTTAGTTCACACTTAAGTTTGGAAGTTTGGTTGAAATTGGTACGATGTGATAGAAAAGTTGTATGTGTATAAAATGTTTGATGTGATGGAAAGTTGGAAGTTTGGAAAAAAAACTTTGGAACTAAACAGAGCCTTAGCCTTATTTTTAGTAGTTTTAAAAGTTGAGGGACGTGTCGTATCTAGTATTGTAGTTTGAGGACGAATTTCAATCTCGGCAACAAATTGAAAGACCTAAAGTAAACTTATTCCGTAATAGATTGCTGACACGACAGAGAACGCAACTTGTGCGACTGGCAAAATCCACCAAACGTAAAAACGCATCAAGGGCCGTTTTGAATTTGATGCCAAACGCGTCCTACCAATTTTTCTTTTCAAATAGTAAATATGATAGTTTGGTTTGATCCTAAAATAGTTGGTAATATTCATGTTTGATTTGGTACTCACAATTCTAAAACATAACAATATTGACAATAAAACTTTACCCTACCAATAATTTGGTGGCACTACTGAAATATTAGTACGATATAGAACACAAACCAGGCCTGCACTTTCCTTATCGACATGCACGCGCAATTCTGGAAGATCAATACATCTCGCAGCATCTTCAGGAAAACAGCTTTCAAATTTCAACCATCTCAAGCAACAGGTTAAAAGGACATCCTTTCTGATTGCACAAAACTCTGGATTTATGATAGTAACCACAAAAAACAAATCCTGTTGAACAAGCTAACATGATAACATCAATCAGCATTCGATAATTTCAAGATGAAATGCAACCCGATTTCATTATTTAAACTGCTCAAACAAAATGCTAACAACATTCAGCTAGTGCGAGCGTTTAAATACGAACTGAGCACACTAAGCATCTCATGACCATGCATATCTACATCAAATTGGTGTTAGGCAAGGTTCACTCAACAGCTTCAATGATAAACACGTCTGATTGGACTATTTGACTACTGGCAGACTGGCAGACTTTTGTTATCTGACAGACACAAGGGCAAACGATGTTTCATATTCAAGCATTGAATACATGAATAGTCTAGCTTGAGCTGACATTGTCATGCTTTTGATCACCAAAATAAAGTCCTGTTGTATGACCACATCATGTTAAAAGACCAAGGATGAGGAGCTACTAACCCAAGTAGGTTGAATGCCTCGTAAAACATATAGAAGCAATGGAAGTAATATAAAACTAGATCTCCTTCTTAGAAGGGGCCAAATAATGCACAGGAGAGCAACAAGTTCCATGTCATGAGTGCTAGCCCATTGGATGCCCATAAGTAGCTTGAGCCACAGGCAACACAATCAATGCAACTTCACGCAGATAAAAATGAATGCTACAGTAAGTGCCATTAGCAAAGGCAACAAAAATGGGTACCCTTTACAGTACCACTAGTTCTTCAGTAAAGCTCATGACTCCTAGATTCTATGAGTATTGGACAACTTCCCACATAACACAAACACTTACATGGCTCTCGAATATCACTATCCAGATTGCTTATCCAACTATAATCACAGTTATTGGTCCGAGTGCTCATAATATACCACTATCATCCCTATATAACTACACTCATTCCTTTAGGTATGAAATTTCAATGTATTCCTAGCGTCTGATGATTGCATATCTAGAAAGAAGCATCATCAAACCAAGAATTAAGCTAACAAGCCATAGGCCTATAAAACTGACACTGACAGTCATGAGGGTTGACTCACAGATAACTTCAGCAAATGCTGTATTTCAGTTCTTTCTGCAGGAACTAAGCAAGCATTAAGACATATTCTGCATTAGTTTAAATGCAAACTTCCCCACTTAACAATGTAACTTAAAAGAAAAATGAGATAAGCATCTACACCAAAATGTAAGCATTCATAGTAAAGATATAATAGATAGCTCATAAGCTAGCACCTAAGCAACATAACGCATAAGCTTCGACATGCCTAATTTTGATTGAGGCAAGTATGTCCTTGTCCACAAAAGTTAACATAACCAAAGATCTATATCCATAACATCAGAATGAGACTACTCCAGGCACCAGCAACAGTGATCACCTTTTTAAGCGGCATTCTCACCAGACAATGCCCTCCAAAACCCAAAAGTATGTCAATTGCAACCTACTCAAAGATCAGAGCCCTCCAGCGCATCAAGCACCATCTTGATCGTCTCCTTCATCAGGTCCATCCGACGCAGCTGCTGCCTTATCTCTGAGAGCCTAAACCTGTTCAGCTTCTCCTCCATTGCCCGTGCCCTTGAACCATCAAGCACACCAAAGGCCTTCCTGAACGCAGTCCCACTTGGGTGCTCCTTGGACAGCTCCTCGACAGCCTCCCAAAGGTAAGGATACATGTCCTTCCCCTTGTCAGCAACATCACCCTTCCCACTGCCATTGCCATGGACACTCCTACCCCCAGTCACAGCATTCCCATTCCCATTTGCTACAACAATGGCCTTCAGCCTCCTGTTCCTGTGATCACGGTCGTCCCACCCACTCTCCATGTCCTCATCACTATCATCTCTGCTCCCTTGCTCCTCATCACTCTGTACCACCTCAGCATTCTCATACACACGACCACCACCACCTCCACCTCCACCTCCACTACCAGCGCCAGCACCACCACTCTTTGTACCCCAAACTTTCTTGCTAAGTTCGTAAACCTCACGGTCATGCTCAGTTGGCAAGTCCGGATCCCGCCCGCTCTTGGTAACACGGGTCAAGATCAAATTGTACTTGTGTTTGAGCCGCCGGACCTTATCACTGAGCTGGGTAGTGGATGCCTTAACACTAAGCTGCCCGCGAATCATATTGTGTAGCTTGCCTGTGTCCTGAGAGGACCCCGGGAGCGCGCCGTTCTTGGCGCGGTAGGAGATGAGGGCACGCAGTATGGTGACCTCATCTTGGGGGTTCCAAACCCTGGGCGGACGCTTGTGCTGCTCCGGCGAGTGCTGGGTGGGGGAGCTGCGGGGGCGCTTGGAGCGCCTCTGGGACTGGGAGGATGCCGCAGCCGGGCGGCGGGACGCGTCCATGGGTCGCGAGCTGATGGGCTTGACGCCGGTGGCCTCGACGCGGGAGGAGCGGCGGGAGCGAGGGGGCGGCGTGGCGTTGCCCTCGTCGTCGCCGTCGTCGAACGCCGCGGCCGCCGCGGCCTCAGCGGCCTCGGCGGTGGCGGCGGCGGAGTTGTCGGAGTCGGAGTGGAGGCGAGGGGAGCGCTCGCGGCTGCGCCTCGGGGAGGCGAGGCGGGCGTCGGCGTCGGCGCCGGCGTCGGAGTCGGACGCGGCCACGAAGTCGACGGCGGCGGAGGCCGGGGTGGAGGAGAGCACGGCGGCGTTGTGGGGAGGGGTCTTGGATCGGGAGCGGGACGGGGAGGCGCTCCGGGAGGGGGAGCGCGACCTCGACGGCGAGCGGCGGCGGCCCGCCCCGCCTGCCTCGCAGTCGGACGCCTCGGAGGCCGAGCCCGACGCGGCGGCCGGGCGCTTCGGGGCCATGGCAAGTGGGTGGGGGCTTGGAGGATTAGGGTTTTGAGGTTTGAACGCTTTGTGCGTTTCTTTCCCCTCGATGAGATCGATTTCTCGCCGCTCTCCTCTCTGCCCCCCTCTCTCTATCACGCGGCCCGCGGGGATGCAGTTGCGGCCTTGCGGGAGCAGCCAAGACGGCGACACCGAGAGAGAGAGAGACCCAACCCAAACCCAGTGACACGCGCGACGCGCAGCGCGCGACATCGCAACGCCACGCAGCGGCGTGTGTGTTCCGTGCGGTCGCTAAACAACCTGATTAGCCGAGCGGCCGAGTAGCTGTAAGATAGCCAACTGCTAGCTCCAATTCATTTATAGCTAATCTAATAGTTCATTCATACAATAGTTACATACTATACTATTAATAACTGGTCCCACCTGTCATACACACACTGTATCTTAGAGTCCGTGCTACAGCTGGCTACAAATCTATAGCCCGCTGCCCTTCTCTCTCCTCATTTATCTTCTTAAAATATGTCTGCAGCTGGCTTATAGCCTGCTATTATACCTGCTCTAAGCACTAAGCAGTTTCGGAGTCAGCGACGCCGCTAAGCTCGAACAATTATAAAAATAAACTTTAATAATTGATCATTTTCTTTAGGATATAATCCCTCCGTCACAAAATAAACCACACATTCTAATACAACTCTGGTTGGATTCATTATATTATGATGTGCCATATTATAATACGAGGTTAATTTATTTTGAAATGGATGAGTAAATGGTTATCAGTAAAGGAGATGACAGCGGTGGAGCCTAGGCGGTCGCTCAATCTTGTTAGGAGGTGGCTTCGCTGCTGGTTGAAAGTTAGGCTTGGTTGTCTTTTAAACTAATAAGGTGAAAACTACCTTATGAACCAAAATTACACATGAAAAATAAAAAAATAGTGTTTCTAAAAGGTGTGTTTTAGTGATAAGCCCATGATATTGTCGAGCCTAGATAAAATGGAGTGTGCCAGTCACCGAGACATTTTTTATATATATTTAACAATGAAAATATTAGCGGTGAAGTCTTGGGTAACCACCTAATAACAAACTCGAGATTTGGCTTTGCCGCTAGTATGCTGCTGCTAAGGTTAAAGTATAGTCTTTTGGGGATAACTAAGTATGATGGATGAATGGTAATACAAAAGGTTGCGATTGATAATAATTTATACTCCCTCCGTCTCAAAATATTTGACACCGTTGACTTTTTAGCACATATTTAATCGTTCGTCTTATTAAAAAAATCTATGAAATATGTAAAATTATATGCGTACATGAAAGTATATTTAACAATAATTCAAATGATATGAAATGAATAAATAATTACTTAAATTTTTTTAATAAGATGAATAGTCAAACACGTACTAAAAAGTCAACGGTGTCAAACATTTTGAAACGGAGGGAGTATATAGCTAATGAATTAAGCTATTTGTTTGAGTCTCGGAGTTATGATTACAATAGATTTAATTATGGGCTTAGAAGTACCTGTGTGGATAGACTAATATGAGCACGAAACATAAATATTTGGCGGTCATACGGTGCTATGTTTAAAACAAATGAGTTTTCACACCGGATTAGCTATGACATTAATTTAAGATATCTTTAATGAAAGAACAACTAAAATGTGATATTTGTTAAACTGCTCAACATAGCTCATCAAATAGAAAAGTAAATTATACACATAGTTAGGCTCGTAAGAAATTCAAACTCGTCTTGACAAAGTTTGCGAGCTTGATCTTGTGCCTGGACTCGTTAAGAGCTCGATTTCTCTATACTTTGTACTATTTACCAACACACATGTAGTCAGCCTGTAACGGGAAAAGGTTGGTGGTGACAAAGAAGACACCGATCCTAGTTCTGACTTGTCTCGTATCTCACTTGATCAGATAGGCTACATAACCATACGATATGTACCCTATCTGACATCACTTTTAAGTGTTGGAGTATCTGCTGAAAATACTCTTAATTATTCTACGTTCGTGCATATCCTTATACCTATCACTTAATTATTATTCTATGTCCGTGCATATCTTTATACCGATCGATACACTACATAAGCCCCTCACACACACGCACCACACCACTCTTCAAAAGGGAAACGTAGTCGGGGTGGAATACATGATTGCTTAATTTGTTTGGTTCTTCCACTCGCAGAATGGTAGTACCAGATACTGTTACATTTCTTTGATTTCTCTTCTTTTCTTTTGCTTTGCGAGGACCACTTGTTTGGTTCAACGACGTGTAATCAGATACAGAGAAAGACAAGCTAATAATAAACTCACCTTAATTAAAGATTGATTCCTTCTCGCCGGCAATGCGGCAAACGCTTTGGCGCTCTATTGGAGCCATAGGCAGGTGGGCACCACCACAACAGGTCCTTCTCGAACAGCAAAACGACGAGATGTTCACCGTCGACGTCACAAGAACAATGATAAAAACTACTCCTCCGTTCTTATTTACACTTATTTTGGAACTGTATTTATTTTGAACGTATTTTGGGGCTGTATTTATTTTGGAACGCCGGAAGTATGGGGTTTGAAAAAACGAGAATATTAGAAAAGAATCTAATTGTTAGAGACCCACTCAACAATGTAATTTCAGAAATAGCAGTGCCATATGCAACACAGGGAACAACCAAGTCTATTACAATAGTGGAGTGGTTTTGAGGTGGAAGATGGAAGGATACAAGGGCTAGAAGGTTCTAGTAGCTTCTAGACTAGTAGAGAAGAAGGGAGATAGAGGAGAGATTGACAAAGAGGCCAGCCAGCCTTCAAGTCGCCGCCGCCGCCGTTCGCTGCCTTGGCCAAATGAATCTGTTCAATCCCTCTCATATATTTTTCAGCTTGGGTTTGCTTGGGCTTCTTGGCGATGAGCTAACCAGCCCGTGGTGCAGCCAGCGGCCCATGTGCAGCCCACCCGAGTCACTGACACTAATATCAAATAATTAGAAGATGTGAGGTTTCAAACTTAGGTTGTCTAGCCCACCACGGTGAGCCTTCGAACTCAGATCTCTAGCCCACCTATACATTTGTCGACAAATTTTCTCCTAAAAATTTGACAGATGTAATTATAGTACAATCGTAGTGTAATTACACTGTAACTTGCATGTAATTAGAGTGTAACTTGTATATAAGTTTCACGTAATTTTGAATCATTAAATCTATTACAAGATTTGTTCTGGTGAGGAAGAAAAAAAATCACAGCACACACATATGTGTAAGGATTTGTTCTCACAACTTCTATTTTACCGAAATAACATATTACACAACTTCTATTTTACCGAAATAACATATTACAGAGAGATTTTTGAAAGTTACATACAACTATTATTACATATACACAACTATTATTACATATACACTACTGTTACACTGTAACAGTAGTGTAGTTACATGCAAGTTTCTATAGGTATAGTGTAATTACATGCAAGTTATATGGTAATTACACTACGATTATACTGTAATCATATCTGTAAAATTTTTGGAGAAAATTTATCAAATTTATCGATAAATATATAGCAAAATCGCGGCACAGTTATGGCGAGAACGATGAGCTTGATTTGGGGATACCTGTCGTACTTGGATTGCTATTGGGCTGTAATCTAGGTACGTGGAAGTACCATGTAAATATTATTTCTTCGAAATCGATTATCGGTTGATCAGGATTATCAATGCAGTGAACACTCAGCACTGTAACGCTGTTAAGTGCCTCAACTCAAAACAGACCAGTACACATTCCCCCTACAGCAGAAACTACAGTAGTAGCTAATCTTTCACAGTTCAGATTTCAGATATAGTACATATGGGGTACTCCCAAATGTTTCTCGACAGAATACCATGGCGTTTCTATCATACATCAGCAATTAATCTAGAGCAGCCAAGCTTCCGGTTCGCTCAGATCATCTCCCCTGATGTCCCCATCAGTGCCCATGATCGTGCTCAGCCTGCATGTATATTTTCCATCAGGGAATCAGACTTCGTCAGAACAGCACACCACACATGACTCTGCTTAATTTTCATATTTAGATCTCTGCTTGTCTACACATCAAGAGAACACGCAAAAATTATACTGTCACAGAGATAATCAGTAATTACCTTGGCAATGTGCACCTTGTGATCTTCGCCGGCGGTGACGGTGGCGGCGGCGCCGCCCCTGGCGCGGTACTTCCTGAGCTGCTCCCTGACGAGCTTCTTGTAGATGAAGGAGGCGCCCTTGAACTGCGGGAGCACCAGCCACGCCACGAACAGCACCTTCACCGGATACCACACCGGAATCCTGCACGATCAAGGATCACCAGCGAAGTACAGACCAGTTCGTGTTCAGTTCAGTTGAGTCATCAGCACCTAATTGATTTGTTAGGTGTTTAATTACCAGTAGAGGACAGGCTCGGCGACCATCTCCAGGAGGGTGATGAAGGAGTAGAGGATCCAGTAGGCCAGCCACTGCTCGTCGTCAACCTTGGTCGGGCTCTCCATCGCGCAGATGGACGCGTACCTGCACTCAGTCGATTACCAGTACGCACAAGAACAGTGCACATGAACCAAACTATAATTACTAACGATGAGATATCCGTAGATAAAATCGTGGCTGTACTTACAGCGGATAGAGAAGCGTGATGCTTGGCCTGCAAACAGGGAGAGATCATATAAACCAGTCAGACATCTCACTTGCTCAACAGCTCAAGCCTAAAGATGAAGAACGAACTAACGGTGTAAAGCAAATCACAAAAATGAAACTGAAAGTGCAGATTAATTCAGAGATACCCAGCAATGGAGTTGAGGTGGGTGATGATCGCCCATGTCTTGCCCATCTCTCTCCTCTCCCGATCGATCGATGGAATCAGCACCAATTGGATGTCTTCTCTGAAGCCTGTGGCTTGTTTCTGAGCTGAAAAGAAGACGAGACCTCAGGGAGAAGCAAAGTGCTACTACTCTGGATCCACCAACATCAACTTGACATCGCGAGAGATACGCTGCTTTTATACAGGCGTGTACTAGCTAGGTGGCAGTGGCATCTGGTGCCAAGCTTGTACGTGGCGTCCATGGATTTCTTTGCTCGCAGATCAACGTGACAGTGACTGTAGTCTGTAGTGCGAAAGAGTCGAGAGTTAAATCGACCGGATTGCTTTACGGTTCTCGGAGGGGCTTGACTTGTGGTCTCTGGCAGGCACCATTGGGGCTGGGTGCCACGTGGAGGGCCCTGCCGACACGTGTGCTGAGGGAGGGCGGCACTCGTGTCAGCACATGGGAACCCCAGTACCGACGGAAGAAGCTCCCCTACCTTATCCATCGACCATGGGCCGGGATTGAGAGAAGGAAGTTCTGAGCTTATGAGTGTTGTGACTTTTGTCCATTCTTTCGTTTCGCCCAGTCCATTCGAGGCAAAGCACCTGGCGATCGAACAACGTACTAGAATGTCCTGTGCTTGGAGAGTTCAGTGATTCACAGTGATCAAGCCTGAACATGTCTACTACTCCTCTAGAATGGCAACATAAGTCCTGGATCTGTTTACTTCGAGGATTACTTGATCGGTTCCACGTACCAGTCAAGGCTTTTATCGGTTTCTCATCACATGATACCGCCTATCACAGACAGGAAGCTCCATAATTCATGGGCAGCGTCGGTGAAGCGGTGCCATGTCTCCTGGTTACGAAGAACAGAGGATGGGGCTAATCAGCTAATCTCAGTTCGTCAGCAGCTACGGTACGTGTTCGAGAGAGCCCGGCCGGCTGCACCTTTCGCTAAGGCCGTGTGTTTAGATCACGTCAAAATTAAAAGTTTGATTGAAATTGGAATGATGTAATAAAAAAGTTAAAAGTTTATGTGTATAGAAAAATTTTGATGTGATGAAAAAGTTTGGAACTAAATCTTAGTCAGAATGACACGAAAGGATCGAATGTTGCTCGGAGAACTTTTGCTCCGGAAGTCCAAAAGATCGACCGGCCATCCGCACTACCCACCGCTGTCGCTGGAACTTTGTTGCTTATAAGTATATTTAGTACTCGAATGCATCCCGGGCGTCCTCGCCATGATCGACCAGTCTCTGAACTTTATAGCTTTTCCTGAACTCTATAGAAATGAACATGGATTTTGTGCCTTGCGTTGCTCGTTTCACTGCCTCACTGACGCCCTCCTCTTGCAACATCTCGCTTCCCTGATGACCTCCATCAACTGCAATCCTGCAACCCTGCATCGTTCTCCAATCAACCGTCCAATTCAGTCATACTCCGTAGTCCGTACAATCTCACCATCAAACCAAACCAGATATCTCCTCTGAATTTCGCGTGATCTCCTCGTCTCGTCTGCTATGCTACAGAGTGCTCCAAGAACACTCACTTTGTTCTCCACTGACACAAAAGCGTACGGCAGAAGCTTCCGATTCGATCGACTCGAGGATCATCCGAGCCGCGATCCGAAAATTTTCAGCAGAGGCAGTTAACGCTGGTTAATTATTATTTTTTCAGTATTTTTTTTGGAGTTAATTGAGGGGCGGTAATATATAATTAGGGGAGAGGAGAGAGAGATGGACGTGGTAACATTCGGTGTGGTAGTGGGTATACTCGTCCTCCTCTTCGTGCTCGTCCTCGTCGTCACCATCGAGGGCGTCTGCAAGCGCCGCTCCTCCTCCTGATTCCGCCGCGGTCGCTAGCCCTAATGCGCGGGGGCCTCCTCGTCCTGCTCCTCCTCACCGCGGCCGTCGCCGGCGGCGGCGGCCACGAGGGCTCCTCCTCCTGCCCCTTCCACGCCCACGACAAGCCCCACGATGATCACCACCACGGCCACGGCCACGGCCACGGCCACAGCTGCGGCGGCGGCGGGGACGACTCCCACCACGTGCACCATCATCACCATGGGCATGGGCATGGCCATGACGGCGGGATCCAGCGGCGGCTTCTCCCCGAGGAGCTCGCGGAGGAGGCGGATCTCGAGCTCGACTCCTTCGGCGATCACCACCACCACCACCACCATCACCATGAACACCACCACCACGACCACCACCATGGCCACGGCGACTTCCAGGCCGAGTTATCACCCTTGGGTTAGGCCTTTTTTTGGGGGGTTTAACTGTTCAATTTGGGTTGTTCTGGGCGAAATGTCGTTTTATGCTTGATTCGCTCTCGCGTGATTGAGAAATTTGGGGATTGGGTAGGTATGTGGCTGAGTGCCATGGGATGCTCGCTTCTGGTCAGCATGGCGTCGCTCGTCTGCCTCGTCCTGCTCCCAGTAATCTTCTGTGAGTGTCCCCCAATTGGATGCTTGCAATTTTTTTGCTGATGATATTCGTGTGCTCAGTGCTCACGTTCTGTTTCTCTGATTTGCGTTTTACAGTCCAGGGGAAGCCGTCCAAGACCATGGTGGATTGCCTTGCCATCTTCGGGGTAAGTGTGGAGTTTCTAGTTATCAAAAAGTTTTTATTAGAACAAAACCCAAACTAGCAAATAGATCATTGACTGCAATTTAATCGAGTCTGAATGTTCTACTATGGTACCAGAATCAGCATAGTATACCAATGGGCAATGCATATTGGAATTACAGTGCAGCTTGAGCTAGGTAATTTAGGTGGCTGTTGAATTTTAATTTTAGACAAATAAATGGCCACATCTGTACCAACTGAATGTCACATCCTATTTGTTATATTACATTGACTTTCTAGTTTGGGCATCAAGAAATTTAGTCAATGTTCTTCGCGATTTGTTTACTTGAAAGCCAGGGAAATGGTCCTACATTTTGTGCTTTTGAAATGTAGCAACTCAAAGTCTGTTGAGATGTTATTTCAGAAAACAAAACCACATGTATTTCTTGTTATTCTTGAACTTTGGAAAGTAATACCAAAGTTTCTTATTAATATAGTTTTCCTTGGGGAATCCCATCTGCATTTCTGTATTCCTGAAGATTCAATGACATAACTCTGTGGGCAGTAATCATGTTAAGTTGTTAACAGCAATAGTCAATGTTACAACTTATGTATGTGTTTTTTTTTCTTGTTTGGCCTGTGATGATTCTGTAGGCAGGTGCGATGCTTGGGGATTCATTTCTTCATCAACTGCCACATGCCTTTGGTATATTCCTCAATAAACTGTTTATACTTTTTCCCCCATCCAGTAAACTTTACATAACACCTGGTTTGGAGTATGAGTAACACAAAACCCGAAGTTATGGATATTGCTTCAATAAACCTAGGTTTTGGGGCAAAAGTTTCACAAAATCCTCAGTTTCTTTACATCTAGAACGATGTCAAAACCCCAAATGTCATCAGTTGCACTGTTGTTTCACTTTGAAATTGAAATTTGTGCAGAAGTACTATCAAATGATTCTCATTCCAATGTTACTTACGTTGCCAATTAAGCTGCCTGAATTGCATGTTGCTGAATTTTCAGGGAAATTTTGAATCATATGTTATATTGTCATGATGCACCAGAGAATCTTGATGAGCATCCAAATACTGTTTTTCTCCTGAACCATTGCTTCCTTTTCTTTTATGAACTTCAGAAAAACACTTAATAACACCTTTTGTTTCTATTTTGCCATCAAGGTTCCTCCTAATACTTATTGAGCACAATAGTATTATACTATTCCCTGTTTGGGACGTGGGGATTTTTGAAGTATTCCTGTGGGATTCACACTGCTTCCTTGGAAACTATAATAAAAGTCGCCGTGTTTGAAACAAGCTAAATATTGTATCTTTAGAGTTCCCTCTTTTATCTCTTGTTCACACAGTTATAAGTCTGTTGCCTTAGTATAGTGGCAAACTGTCATTGTGCCTTATTGGTACTCCTGGTTGTAACCTTTGTTGTTTTTCTGTTCCTAAACAGGTGGAGGGCATTCTCATACACATGATCATCAGAATCATAATCATTCTCATGAGCATTCACATGCACACTCTCTGGAAGATCTTTCTATTGGTTTGTCTGTTCTATGTGAGTATACCCTGCATGTCTACACCAAATTCTGGTTTCTTTAGAAGATCTTTGGTACTAGTATTTGCTATTGCTCAAACTCAGATTTTTGTTTTTTTTTTGTTATTGATTGCCAGCTATACATACTCAATATTTCTTGGATATTGATTGCTTCCTTTTACTGAACACATATAACTGAAAGGCCATTGAAATTTCAAAATAGTTATCCCTTATTAACCAATATTTTTTTATTTATTTCATGCTATTAAATTCTAATATTGCTGTAACCCTGGAAACTTCCAATTCTTTGATGCAGTTGGCATTGTGTTTTTCTTTATTGTTGAGAAGATTGTGAGGTATGTGGAAGACAATTCTCAGAAAGGGGCTCATGGCATGGGCCACCATCATCACCATCATAAACGACACGATAGGAGCGACAAGGCCAAGTTGAATCACGCAGAAAAGGATCATGAGGATAAAGGCGTAAATCAAGCAGAAAAGGAACCTTCGCATGATGGTGCAATTGAGAAAACAGATGGTGTAACTCGTGCTGATTCAAAATCTGCAATCCGTAAGGTACATTGAAGTATGGCTGATACAAAACTATGAAGCTATTTAATATATTTTCCAGAAGTCTTTGCTATCTTTTCTGGTTGTAATTGCAAAACTATTCATAGTGTTCATTTTATTTTTGGAAAATAAAAAGGCAATGGTAGTTGGCATGATTTAGGCACAAGAAATGCTATGGATAGGAAAGGTTCCTAAATAATTGAGGAGGGACCTTTTGCTTAGCTGTTCAGGATCTGAAGCTTTTGTTAGAGAAATTATCTGCAACAACTGTGGCAAACAATATGTTTTTGCAAGGTGGACTGAACAGTGAACACCAGCACCCAAATGAATACTTACAAAGCATGAAACACAACAAACAACCAAAATGTGAAAGCCACCTGTTGTTGCCACACTTCCTAAATAGTTAGAAGGTTAACCATTACTTCTGGATTAACAGAAACTTAGGGCTGTTTGGATGAGAGGGATTACTCTAGTAAATTTTATGATTTAGTTCAAATTCGTATTAAATCATGATGATTTAAATCCAAAGCTCTATATTCAAGCAGACCACTAATGAATTGAAATGTGCAATTAATTTCTGAAAGGATACTGTGTAATAAAAAACGAGAGTTGTTTTGGAAAACTGTTGAAGGCACACATATTGTGGTTGTAGTACTGTTTCTTTTGTTCTCTCAAGATATCTACTCTAATGTCCTTGTTAATATCCCACAGTTTTGTTCTTTGGTGCTATACATACTTACATGCCTGAAGTTAACTGTATTCATGAACTTTGTTGTTTTTTCTATTTTGGGGCATCACCATTTCTTTTTGTGATGCTGTTTTCCATAACCAGACCGTCATCTTTACCTGCAGAAAGTTACAGTGAACAAATGCCAATACATGATTCTAATTCTAATTTATATTCATTTTGGTAGATATCCGATGATCTCACAATAGTTTATTTCTTCTCCGCACTTCTGTCACTGTCCCACTATACTAGGTATTTGTCACCAAGTTCTTATAGTGCATTTCCATTTTGAGAAAAATGGAAGTAATGTGCATCAGTATATCACAACTTGTTTCGGAGAATTATTGCCAGTGAGGCCGGACGCTTCAGTTTGCCTCAGGTTTAGATGTTCTGGTAAAGGAAAATGTGGGGTGGTAGCTTGTAATTGGAATTTTAGTAGCTTTCTCGTGTAATAGTTTGCTAGCTTTTTTAAAGAGAACAGTGGGACCAAGATGGTCCAACTGGACATATGTATATATTAGAAATAAAGAAAACAGATAGTTTGCATGCTTGACCGTTTTGTGAAGTTCATTTTGTTTTATTTATGCAAATAGGCATTGTATGATCGCATGCCAGCTTATGGACTTAATGTCTTCTCTGATGAACAGAGGGGCTTATCTTCTGGTTCCAATTCCGCTGATAGAGAGCCTGTCAATTCTGAAAGTGACCCTGCCCCTAACAAAGCATTATCAAGTGAAGATTCCTCTGTTTCCAATTCGAATATGGTGTTCGGCTACCTCAACCTTTTCTCAGATGGTGTTGTAAGTCTATGATCTGAGTACTATTGCATTGCAGCCAAACTATGTTTTTTCTTGCACAATTTTCTTCAGTAGGTTGTATTTTGATGAGAAATTCCGATAAGGCAATAACAATTATATGAATAATGCAGCATAACTTTACTGATGGGATGGCCCTAGGGAGTGCTTTTCTGCTACATGGTTCTGTTGGAGGATGGTCGAGAACTCTATTTCTGCTTGCACATGAACTTCCTCAAGAGGTTACTTTCCTCCCCTTAGGTTAACTGAAATTTCAGATACAGTATTTACAATTCTGTTGACCTCATTAATCCTCATATTACTTCGTCGCAATATTACATGGTATTAGTATAAATGTGACTTAAGCCTTTTATTTCATACATCAGTTCATGCTACAACTAACACTACATTCTGACCAGGACCAGTAAATTCTAATACTCCAGCCAGTCAAAAATATTTCACGTTTAGAACAAGATTTCGTCAAACAAATGCTATACATAGATTTACCTCAAAAAGTACTATCATTATGTCATAAACTTATTAGATTTTATAAATTTATTCTAGTATGACTGAATCTTTGTCTTAATGTCGAATGATGATTTTGACCAGAGGGGGTATCTTAACTAAGCTTTCTTATATCTATGGCCAACAAAAACTCAGAGCTCTGATTATAGAAAAAAGATGAATATTTTGTGCGGTGTAACATGAAAATTGCACCCAATAAATATATAAAAGATAACCTCTATCTGCTTGCTATTGACTCAACATTTTGTCCATGCAAATGATCACAACACAATGCAGGTCACAGTTTATATGTAAGAAATCAACTAGAAATGCTAGTATGTCACACTGAAATCAGTTTATTGAGCTAATGTATTTATCTAGCTTGTTATCTCATGCTCAGAATAAATGGGAAATGGACCCAAGTGTTGTATGGTCTGTTGAAACCAGAAGTGTGACTGTAGTTTTCTTCGTCATGCCTCTTTTGTTTATGTACAGGATACTTTGTTCCATTCATCCATCCATCCATTGTTTCATTGGCAAAACGGTGCTATTGGCTCATACATAGCATGTTCCTACTAGCTTGGTTTTCTGATATACTTTTTTTTTTCAGGTCGGAGATTTTGGTATCCTGGTGCGCTCAGGATTCACTGTAACTAAAGCCCTATTTTTCAATTTTCTCTCTGCGTTGGTTGCTCTTGCTGGAACAGCACTGGTGAGTTTTTGTTTTATCCTCTCCGAAAAGGAACATTGCTGTTCTGAATTGAATGCTTATTGTACCCGCATGGGCAGGCATTGTCTTTGGGAAAAGATCCAGGGCATTCTTCTTTGATTGAGGTATGTTGTTTCTGTTTAAGTGGCTTTTATGTTCTAAACACCACCAAAGCCATCAGCATCCATCCATATTATCTGATAGAAATATACCCGTTTTTACTTTCTTTTGAAGGCAATCCGATTTTCTACACAACACGAAACTAGTCTGTGATTTGCTTCGTATTCTAAGCCAGCATGGCAATCATAAGTTCCTAATTGTTAGCTTATTTCATTCTCTGCTAGTCCACAATTTCCATGTTAATATTGGTCCTATGCAAGTCACTGTTGATGGCCTAAAGTAAAATCTTGCTCGCACCAATAAGCAATAAGCACTTTAGGTTTCCACCTTGTTGCTCGACTGCACTGACTTATCATGATGACACTTTGAATGTAACTGAGGATGATGAGAGCGAGACATCGAATGAATAGTTTGGGCATTGGATGGAATTGCATCAGCTGGATTTAAACTGTTGGCATTTTTGCTAAATCACAAACTGATTAGTTGTTTGAAGTACACAGATACCTTTAACTAGTTACTTCCATCTATTGGAGGGAAGTACCAAAAGCTTAATTTCCATCTATATTTATTGGATTGTTGATAAAATTGCATTATCTGTTTCCCTTGAGTATTGTCAATATTGTTCATTAGAGCTGATCCTGTACCCGGTAAATGATGCTTATACAGGGATTCACTGCTGGTGGCTTTATTTATATTGCTGTTGCTGGAGTCCTCCCAGAGATGAATGATCAGAAAACAACCGTCAAAAGCTCGATGATTCAGTTGGTTTCCCTGACAATGGGAATGCTGGTTGCCCTCGGCATATCTCTAGTAGAATGATGACGGAATTTCTGGTTGCAGCTTTAGGGCCTATTGTACTTAAGCCAAGCGGGTAATTCTTGAACAGCTCCAGCCTGTAAGATCAATTCTTCTCGATAGTTTCACCGACTGTGTTACAGAAATTTTGACAATTTTCAAAAAAAAAAGAGAGAGAAAATTTGGTTCTTAAACTTCTTAAAATATGGTTCTGTTTGCTTAAGCGCAATTCATGCCGACAAGCTGATTAGCTGAGCTCCGTCTTCTCCGTTTTTTCTCAGATTTCAGAGAAGCTAAACTGTAAGTGAAGCCCTTTTTTTTAATATAGGGAAGATGATTATATCTTCGGTTTCTGCTCCACGGATGCACTCAGCCACAGAGTAAGGTAAGGCATTCGAGACAATGTTTAATCAGGTAGCTCGGCACAGTGGCACCATCTCTAAAGATTTCATTGTTCTCCAAGTTCGAATGATGGCAAGAATAACAAGCATCACTACTCACTAGTAGATATGAGTACCTCTTACAATAAAACACATCCCTGTTGGCATCAACGGTAGATGTGAGTATGTGACCCATGACAGAATTAGTGGTAAGCACTGAATGGAACCATGGAAGTGCTGCGTTCATGGGCGTCTCAGGCTCTGAGTCTGCCATCTTGATTCCAGACATCGCCTTTCTAGTTTTTCTAGTTTCTGCACTGCTCCAATAGTAACTTCCCACATGGAACTGATCACTGATGAAGCAGACCGTTCGGTAAATCGACGGTGGTCACCCACCGGCGTCACCGGCAGGCTCGACCGGGAGATATGCCGATGGTCCTCCTCCCCCACCGGTTGATCTACCTCAGGTACAGTGCTGTCTCCCAACACATAAATGTTGTGCAGGGGTAGAGAGCCCATGGCAGAGAACGGATATGAAGGATCTCCAATAATTGCGTGTGTCGTCAGGGGGGAGGGGGGCAACAGCAACATGGTGGTCACGTTCTCGTGGATCCAAAACTCAAATATAGGTATAGACGCCAAAAGAACAATGAAATGTGTCCTTCAACCTTACTCTATTTTAGCCTCACTTTTTTTTAAGTGCTTAGAGCATCTTTAAGAGAGTTATCAAAATTGGCTCTCATATATTCATATAAAGATCAGTCTCTCCATAATACTCTCTCCATCTCTTTCTTCACACTCCAACTGACTCCATCCCACTCTCCATGTTCTAATGGACATATTTATAAGGGTTATGATTTAATCCAAATAAGTTGTAACAGTAATGGATTGTAGATGCTTTGATGAAGCCTGAGTTTCACTCGAGACACTGAAGGTTGTTGTTGGCCCGATCTTTCGGTGAGTTGTAGATAACTACGATTTGGGAAAAACGTTGACGACCCGACTACAACCGTACGAGACGTTGTTGTGTTGCGCCTTAGCGATCGATACACCTCTCCGTAGATTGTTGATCTTGCCGGTGCAGATCAACCTTATTCCTACAACCAAATCGAAGAAACAAGCAAGAACAAGATAAAAGCAATCTGAATTGCAGATGAGAATTGAATACAAATGATAAGTTGGGGTTCCGTAACGAGTAAACCGGCGACCTAACCGATCACGGGATTACACGGCAAAGTAGCAAATCTAAACTTTAATCTAAACAAAACCCAAGAAACCCTGAAGGGGTACCTACCTATTTATAGGGGTGGGAGGACGACCAAGAGGTGCCAAGAGTCGTTCTCCACCTGGTTGGGGCGCACCCCACATGGGCCCCACTTGGGCCGGGGTTCCAAACAAAGTTACAAGCCCAGAGGCTCAAGACAAATGACGCAGCACCTTGCTTATGTGGTTGCGGCCAAATGACATGGAATTTGGTGATGAGGCTGGATCCATTGGAAAGAGGGCTTCGAGAGCTTTCCATCAAGTACTCACGGGCCGAAAACGGAGGTCGTATGCAGATTCGGCGGCCGTTTGATGTTAGCAGTGTAGCGGGTGGCCGAATCGGATTCCAGCACTTTGAGGACTTGATCTTGATATCTTCTTGTTCATCCATGATGTGTGCAATGGTTATATCTATATTAGCCATGATCACATCATGCTTGGATGGAGAGCCTAGATGAGTGGCCAAATTTGGCCAACGGGTGCGCTTGAATGACAATCCATTGAAGATAGCGCTTATCCATCTTTACTACTACTTCCGTTTTAGGTTATAAGACGTTTTGAATTTGGTCAAAGTTAAACTACTTCAAATTTGACTAAGTTTAAAGTTAAACCACCACTAGCTCCGTCTTTGGTACTACCACCGCTAGCTCTAGCCACATTTCTAGTAACTATATCTATTCACATGATAATTTCATAAATCTTAGTTACTTTTTTTGGCAATTAGATCTCCGTCCAACTATCATCCTCTTTTCATGTAAAAATAACTCGTCACTCCTTAAACATACCACCCACCCCTATTCCAAACTTGTCACTGCTTGATTTGTGGCATATATATACACAACGCGCTTTTCGAGCGTTGCCTAAAACCACCTCAATACTGGTGGCCTATTGCCCTCCTTTAATTTGTCTTGCGTTGTCTCCAATTCATCCAATTCCACACCACTCTTCTTGACACCTCTATATTTGACAAGAGCCATTGTATCCCTAGGGGTGGACAGAAAAAAACCAAGATTGAGAAATTCAGTCCTAGGCAGTGAAAGATCGAATTTTATTGGGTCAATTCGGTTAGTCTCCTCGGCTAACCCAAAAATCCAAATTAACAAAAAAAAAAGGTCCAAATGCAACCTACAATCCACTAAGTTCAATAGGATTGATCTCTAATTTTCACATCCCTACTCCTTCTAAGCATGCAACCCAATAAGAGTCTTTACTCAGACGTGCTTGCGAATTTTTTTCGTGATTTTTGTGTTGAAATTTTCTATGATTTCTTTGCATGTATGAAACTATGTTGATTTAATTTGGTTAGGACTAAGACCGAGACTGAAATTACCGGTCCTAACATATTTGTGTTGAAATTCGATCTTCGCTTTTCAATGACCGAACTGATCGAAAGACCGAAGCCCAAGATCGAAAGTTTCAGTATGACCGAATGCCACTGTTGCTGATTGGGAAACTTCCTCAGCCATCTACATGCCTATCTTTCCCCCACCCCCACCCCCGAGCACGGCATAAATCTAGCCATATGTTTTGTGCACAGCTTTTGCTCGTTCGACAGTAAAGAAATAACTAAAGAGGAAGTACACTACATTAATCGATAGCTCTCATGAAGTGGATAGGCACCGGAGCCTCAAAATCTCAGATAATAGATATGACGCTGCAAGTTGTTTGTAGGATTAGCGGTAAGCACAAGATAAACAATGGTTATGAGCGCGTTGAGAGGTGACTGCCAATTTTGTTACACGATCCGATGGAGAGAACGGTAGCTGGTGCGGTGTGAGATCAAATTGTGCTGTTTGATTTGACAATAGAAAAGAAAATTGTTGACAAGGAAGATGAAATTTGAATAGTTAAATCCGGCGTATCACCATCACCGCCCCCCATCTTTTGCACCATCGATCGACAAAGCATGAATTGCAAAGTAACATCCTTAGAGAATTGTTGGGGATCTGGTAAGTGGTAAATTTTTTATGTATATATAAGTTCTCTACAGCTCAACTCACTCCTCATTCCTCACTGGTTTTGAAACTAAAAGAAAACGATCATCCATTTTCCCTGGAGATCAACACACATCTGTATTTACAAGCAAAACAAAAACTCGGAAGTACTCAAGTATTCCACATACACTGCGATTTCTTTTCTGGAAAAAAAAAAACTTTGACGGCGTCGGTCAGACCGTCTAAACTAGCAAGTTCCCGCTCCCCGTCACAGCTTCCCACGGCGCGCCAAGGAACGGGTTCACGTAGTGACCAAAATGCCCTTGCCTCGCGCCGGCGACGCCGTCGTCTTCGTCGTCGTCGTCGAACACCACCCACTCTCTCGTCACCACCGTCCTCGACGCCACGCCGGTGTCCTCCACGGCGACCAACGCCTTCTCCTCGCTCACCTTCTCCTTCCCGCGGTCCTCGACCACGTGGCTCATGATGAGCTTCTCGAGGTCCCTGATGTCGTCGTCGGGGACGCGCTCCACCGCCGGGAACTCGGCGGCGTTGAGCACGCCGAGGCTCCGGCAAAGCTCGAAGTACGACGTGAGCTGCGCGCTCTGCTCCGAGGCCTTCCGCAGCACACGCATCCCCTGCAGCCCCCTCCGCCGCCGCGCGGCGGCCATGGTCTCCCCCGGCCGCGGCCGCGGCGTCGTCGGCGCCGATCCGAGGACGCCGACGAGGAAGCGGGCGATGCCGGTGCATATCTGGCTGTACACCTCGAAGATCTCGATGACGACGCAGTCCATCGCCTCCAGGATGAGGCCCTGCTCCATGCCGTCCCCGTATGGCCGGATTTGCATGAGCAGGTCGAGCAGGTGCTGCAGCCTCGACACGCCGTCGAGGCGCGCGTCCTCGTCGTCGGCGTCGTCGTCGTCGTTGTTGTCCATGTCCTGGGCGGCGAAGAGGGAGCGGGTGTCCAGGAAGTGGAAGTAGGCGCGCACGAAGGCGGAGAAGCCCGACGTCTTGGTCGGCGACGACGAGCGGTCGCGGAAGTCGGCGAGGTCGAAGGGGACGCGGCCGAGGCGCGCCGCGCGCGGGGCGAGGTCGGACCGCAGCAGCAGGCCGTGCGCGAGCATGAGCGCCTTGAGCGCCACCGCCCAGCACCGCGTCCGCCCCGCCCGCCGCGCGAGCGCCCACATGAGCGGCTGCAGCACCGCGGGCGACGCGCGCGCCAGCGCGAACACCCGCGCCGCGCTCCTGTAGTCCACCGACCGCTCGTCGTGGCTCGTCGCCCGGATCACCACCGCCTCCAGCTCCGCGTTCCTCAGCGCCGCCGCCGCCGCCGGGGAGGCCGGCCGCAGCGCCGCCACGCGCGTCAGGTACAGGCTCCTCCTGTCCTTCGCCGCCGCCGCCGCCCGCCGCCACCATTGCCGCGCGGTCGTCATCGCCTCGCCACCACCACCACCACCAAGCTCGATGCTCCTCGTCCGTTCGAAAATGCCAACGAATCCGAACACCAATAATAAACAGAGGGAAACAAGAAACGACGCGGCGACGTGTTAGGCAGTAAGGGAGAGACGCCAAATGGTCGGCACGGGAGGAGGAGGAGGCGAGAGAAATGGCCAGATGGCACGGTGGTGGACGAAGGCCAGGTCAAGCCTTTTCTAATTGTGAATCGCGTGGAGGAGGAGGAGAGGAGAGGAGCTCATATCTCCGTGCTGTTTCGTGCACCCTACTGCTTGAAAGGATGAAGGATCCATCACCCGTGAAGCATTCTTTATTTGTCTTTGTTCTGATCTTCTGGAGAGGAGGCAGCTAAGTTAGTTGTACAAGCCATGAATATTCCTGTACTGTCATTGACCTTGATCGTCATGAAAAGGGCTTAATTATTAGCTGGGTTATCTCTTTTTTTTATTAGGATATCTTCAGTGCCGGTGGCCGGTGCTCTGGAGTGTTTATTAAAAAAAAAGAAGCAGGATATACAATATAAAATGTGATAATCTTCCCTTACAAAAATAGAGTGATAATATCGAAGCATCCGTGATGAAGCACCGATACTTATGAGCTATGAGTTATGAGTTATGACATGTTTAAGCTTGTTGTCGATAAAATTCTATCTTGATAATTGATAATAGGAGCTTGAATTTCTTGATCCTGTTTGTGTGTTATCTCCTGTGGGGATGTCGGTCGGGCCAGGAAAGATTTTTTAAATAGGTTTGGGTTCTTCTTAGAATAATAACCATACGTCTTGTCGGTATATATAGGCCTATTGTTTTGTTGATATATGTATAACACGAGTATAAAAGTGTATATGTGTCTACCCTATACCTATTTACTAGTCTCATTAGGTCTGACGAGGTGGTGGTTGTATCACTTGTATGTATGGAAGCTCGACTCTAGTGGCTCTTGACGAATCAAGGCTGGATATTAGCAGCTTCATTGGTGTCTAGCTTGAGTCAATTGTTATTCTGTTGGGTTTGGGTGGATCGGATCACGAGAAGAGGAGAAGACAAGGTGACGAGAAGAACTAGAATCGATTTTGAGGTGGCAGTGCAGCCTGCTAGCTTGTAGTGGCTAGCGGTGGTGGTGTGACGCACTTAGGGCCTATTTGGGGAGCTACTAGCTGCTGCACTATCTCCTAGAATTAGAATCTTCCTCCAAACAGTCCAGCTTTCGGTCCAGATTCTGAGAAGCTGTAGTTGTAGAATCCAGAAAATGAACTAGAAGCCAAAAACTGAGAAACCCAGCTTTTCCAGATTTTCAGAAGCTGGTTACCAACCAGCTGCTTCTTAGAATTTTAAGCTCTTTCAAACAGACCCTTAAACTTATGGTAGATTGTGAGACCTCACCATGGCCTGCGCTGAATGATGATGGGAATGGGGAATTGGATTGAGCAGGAAAAACACCCATCGCTGCGCTATACATTGTGCATTTACAAAATTACCCTCACAAGAAAAAACATAGAAAGACAAATTTTCCACCTTTAATTTAATAATGCAATCTATTTAAGTGGCAAAGAAAATTAGCCTACACCTTAGAGCATTTAATACTAGTAGTATATATTGTTGGTAAATTGTATTGTAAAATTCATCTTGATTTCTTGGAGTGACTGAAAATTCACGGGATCTCGATTAGAACATAAGATTCTTTTGATAAATTTCGAAGGAACCAAACCGTTTCTTAAGAAGTTATGAGATGCGTTCCAAATGACACAATCTTGCGCTTGGCAAGTAGGTGATGTTGATAAGGCCACCACGTACCGGGCATTGCAACCGTCACACCAAATTAATTTGATGGCTACATTAAAATTTAACTAATCAATACCACAAGACTTTTGATCTGAAAAATGGGGGAGCTGTGTCAAAACTAATGTTTGACTTTCGAACGTCACATGGTATGTCAGCCGTACGAGCAGATCAGAATTTCAGAGAAAAGAAACGAAAACAAGAGACAATCATTCATCCACTTGAATTATTAGGGAAGAGATCCAGGACATACATGACTTGGAAGGAACGTTCTTGCAGCGAAACAGAGGAAGGCATGCCCACATGATTCGCAATTAATTGCAGCGGGGATCCAACTTGTAATTAATACGGAGAGCATAACACATACTGTAGCAGTGGGTTTATAGATAAAATTAAACAAGCCGGAAGGCAGGCCACGTGCGGCGTAGATATATAGGGGTGGCCGCGAGTGAAGTGGACAAGGGCGACACAATCCGAGCCTGTCTCTAGCGTCGCTATTAACACCGCAGAAGTGGCGGCCCTCGCTACCAATGGAGAAGAGGCGTCGATCCCCCGCTGGACCAGAGCTCGTGCGCGGCGGCGCAAGAGCCCGAGCCAGCCGCCGCTTTGACCTATAAATAACAGAAGGAGCTTGGGGTTGGACTGGGTGAAGGGGCAAGGAAGGAAGGGAAGGGGTTAGGGTAATGGTTTGGTGGAGCTGCTTCGGCTGCAGCCTGTCGATTGCGGCAGGAGGCAAGGTCCGGCTGCCGGCGCCCTTGCCCGACTAGCCGCAACACTCCGCAAGGTTGGCATGGGGGTTTGAGGCATGGAAGATAAGCCGCCAGTCATTATCGGTTCCGATGATTACCGGAGGCCAAAAGTGAAATTCTTTTCAACCAAAAACAATACGAGCTTCTTTTTAGAAAAGCCTCTGTTGGGCCCTTGTGTACGTCCACGGAATAAGTTCACTTTAGGTCCCTCGATTTGTCGGTCAGTCTGATTTTCGTCCTTGACCGCAAAACTGGGTACGACCTGTCCCCCAACTTATGAAAACCGGGCAAAGGAGTTCCCTCAGCAGTATGGAGGATGGTTTTGGCCGACGTGGCGCCTACGTGGCTCCTTTGACTAGGTCTTTTTCCCACGTGGCGCTTACGTGACGTTGACGTGGCGCTTATGTGACAATTTTATAAGAAAAAATAATAAAAATCGTGGGACCTATATGTCAGCTAAAAAAATAATTAAAAAGGTGGGGCCCATGTGGTCCCGCTGTCAGCCTCCCACCTCTCTCTCCCCTACAAAGGCGGAGCGGCGGGACCGAGCGAGGCTGGCGGCGGAGGGAGCGGAGCGGCGGGACCGAGCGAGGAGCGGCTGAGCATGGCGGACGGCGGAGGACACGGAGCGGCTGAGTGTGGCGGGCGGAGCGGGCGGCGGCCGACCTCACCCTCGTGCCTCTTCCGGCGGTCATGGCGGCGGCGGCGGGTGGAGAAAGAGGAGTTGCAGAGGCGGCAGGAGAGAGGAGCGGCAGCCGGCGGGAAAGAGGAGCGGTGGCCGACGGGCGAGAGGAGCGCCGCGCGGCCGGCCTCCCTTCCTCTCCCAGTCTCCGTCTGTCGGCCGCCGCCCACCACGCTCAGCCGCTCCGCGCCCTCCGTCGTCCGCCATGCTCAGCTGCTCGGTCCCGCCGCTCCGTGCCCTCCGCCTAAGCCTGCTAATGGGCTAAAATCCACCCCCACAACCAACCCAATCCACCTCTTGTGAAAGCACTCTAACAAACCAGCCCGCTCCATATCCAAACCAATCCAACCCACAGGAGATTTAAAACCAATCCAACCCAACCCATTGTAGCCAAGTGGGTTGAATCCATTTGAAACCCATGGAATCTAGCATGGACTCATTGCAGGAAGCAGGCAGCTGCGTCGCCGACTTCTGAGGAGCAGGGCCGTTGCTTGCCGATCTCAATTCCGAAGAACGAGAATGCTGACGATGATGGAACAGAGGTAAGCTGCTTAGCCTGCTCGTTAATCCTCATTTCCTTCTCGATTTGTTGTTATTTTTCATTAGAACCAGTCACTAATGATTTTACGTGTTTATTTGCAGTTGTCATGCCTCATCTGTTTGATAGGCTCGGTAAGTTTCCAAAATCTTCAGCAAAAATGATCTTTTCGTGCTTGATCATCTGTTTAATTATTTACTAACTAGCTACTCATGTTGTTGCTTGTGGTTAAAAACTGATGCTGATTACTTTTATCTCTGCATATTCAAAATGGGTTGGGTTTCGTCAAGCTGCAGCCTCACAACAATATAGGCTTCCACTGAAGCCCTAGAAGACCAAGATATATTAGCTCTTCAATCCTTCATGCCTGCCTTTCTGAAGATTTCAGCAGAAAGAGAAAAAGCTGATCACTTTCGTGAGATTTTTAGATACATGGATACTTGAAATCAAAACTCCCCTGCAGTTCATCTGCTCATGGCTACTGATCTGATGATCTCTTGTGCTCTTCTTCCTCTTAAAATTGATGCAGGCTGCTTGATTTATTACTAGCTTACTACACCATTTCTCTCTACGTCATGATTCGCAATGGGAAACAACGGACGAAGCAAGAGTTAGGCAGGTTGCGGGCGGCCGGCGGCATTGCCGCAGTCAATGCAATATCAAAGAAACATACAGACTGGATCGAACCCATTCTAGAATCCATGGATCGAATCCAATCTGAACCCGAAAATTTATACCCAAAACCAAACCAATCCAATCCATTTCCACCTGTGGACCAATCCGCCCCAACCCATTAGCCTCCTCAGCCCATTTCCATCTAACCAAAGACAATCCAAACTTAAAATCAATCCATTTTGTCCACTTCAATCCAACCCATTAGCAACCCATTAGCAGGCTTACCTCCGCCACTCGCCACGCTCCGCGGCTCCGCCTTTGTAAGGGAGAGAGGGGGATAGAGAGAAGGGAGGCTGACAGGTGGGACCACTTGGGCCCTACCTTTTTTAATTATTTTTTAGCTAACATATGGGTCCCACGATTTTTATTATTTTTTCGGATAAAATTGTCACGTAAACGCCACGTCAATGCCACGTGGGACGAAGACTTAGTCAAAGGAGCCACGTACGGGCCACGTCGGCCAAAACCACCCTCCGTACTGCCGAGGGACCTCTTTGCCCGGTTTTCATAAGTTGGGGGACGGGTCGTACCCGGTTTTGCGGTCAAGGGACGAAAATCAGTCTGACCGACAAATAGAGGGACCTAAAGTGAACTTAATCCTACGTCCACACGGTTCAGTTCCAGCCATTTGAAGGCCTAACAGGCAACTTCAGGGATTTGAGCCTTGAGGCCCAATCGTGTGGCGATACACAGATGCCGCCGCCGCCGCCGCCGCCGTTGTGGACGCAGAATCAAAACGGGCTGGGCCAAGGCCGGCCCAAATATGCACGCGGCTGCATCTCGCGATGATAGTCAAGACTGACGCCTCGAGTTCTTCTTACACACAGTTTAGGTTAGCCGCCAACCTCTCGTTCGATCCCCGCCGCCAGCCGGCCTGCCGGCCAGCCATTCGTTCCAACTCTCTCTCACGTGCCGCCGCCGTTTGCCGAACTCGGCGGCGCCAACCGCCGCCGCGCGACGACGCCCCGCGTCAACCATGTGAGCTGCTACGGCGCCTTCAACAGTCAAAGCCTTTTCAGGTTCGTATTCCATGATTCCATCCTTGCCTGCTATGATTATTTTCAAAACCAAACAGTTGCCATGGATTATTAGATCTTAATTTGTGGACAGCATTACGTAAGACACTGCATGCCGTTTTATTGAGAGCTAAAGAGAGTACGTACAGAAGGATTAACACCCTTCAACTTCCTTAATTATGTTATGCCATTTGATTTGGACCTGTTCATAAGTAGTCTAGGGCCTGCTTTAGTGAAAATAAAGTGAAGCAAGAAATTAGAGAAGGAATTTTTTTTCCCAATCTAAGATACTAATGCAATGTTTGATTCAATTGTTCAGTAAGTGCTCCTCTCTTGTTCAATGTTCATAATAAAGGCGATAGCCAGGAAGAAATTAAGAAAGATTCGTTTGCGCTACCAGCTGTGTGTACGTAGCACCACAAGCTTTAAACCTTTAGAATGTCTTATTCGAAAAACAAACCTCTAGAATTCATGAAGCACTATGCCAAGAAATGCGTATACTTGAATCAATAAAAAAATGTACTGGAATACTACTTTGTTCCAGTAGTAAAACAAGGCGCGTTCTTTCCCTCTTACCCTATCGGGCATGTCTCCCAAGCTCCTAAACAAAAAGCATTTCTTCATCAGCATTCGAGACAACTTCTCTGAACCAACTTTTCAACTTTCTAATATTTAAATTTTTGTTTATGCCCTCGAACAATTGTCATAAACCTACGTTCATCCATAATTCATCCTCGTATATCAGAACTTAGGACACACACCCAGCCGGATACCAGCTGCTAGCTGAAACCCAGCGGAGAATTGGCAAAGCGTGGATTTCCAAATTGAGTGAAAGCAACTCATGACCTGAATCACCTGACAAGCTATCGATCTCCCAGCTGCAAAGGACCAGCTAGCCGGCCAGAGCATTTCTCAACAAGGAAAAAATTTAAGTATCTGAGACACGATGCATGCATGGACCAACAGATAACACTACTGATGAAAAGGATCCAAAGCCTCATCTCTTCGGTTCTTCCTCCTCTTCCTCCTTGACCGACCTAAATGTTCTGTGCTCTCCTGGCACCGACTGGACGTCGACGCTGCAGAGTTAGGTCGAACGCCAGCGACCGTGTGAAAAGGAAGAACCGATGGATCGAGACGGCGTTGCTCCTGGGAGAGGAAGGACAACGATGACGACGTGATGCACTGCATCAGTTGGGGTTTCTGATCAAACTGATATGGCAATGCGTTTCGCTGAAAACTGTCAGGCGAAATGATATCATCTAACCTTGCTCGTTGGCCTCCCTAGCTAATGGCTAATTAAGCTAGCTACCTTCTTGCTAACAAGATGTTGATAGTTAATTTCAACTTGCTTGTGAAGTGAGAATTGATGTGATCTTAAAATATTTAGATTAATGCATTACCTCCTGTTTTCTTTGAAAGCCTAATTAGTTACATACGATTGGATGCGCTCGCGACCTAGCTTCTTCTCAGTTTATGTCATAGTATCACTTTCTCTCACTTAATTTGTCTCACCCTTCCCCAGTTAACTATTTTAAATTCAACCTTTTCGACATAAGCTTGCTTAGTCGATACGCTGAAACTGGGCCAAGTTAAATACCAGCGTAACAATTTGCCAGATTAAATTAGAACGTTTAGATCGGTATTAGAATGTGATCTTGAGCTTTACAACGTAGCAGCCGATATAGTAATGTGTATAAAGCATATTGGTCAGTGCAGTTGTTCAGTGGACATCACGTGAAACATCCCCACACAAACATCCTCTCATGCGTTCATCAAATCCTCATCATCCTCCCCTTCTTCCCCCAGCACACATAGGGCTCTTGCTGCTACTAGCTAGTACTATCATTTTGTACAAAAGAAATCGCATGCATTCATGAAAAAGTCTTTACTCAATTCATTTCACCAGATCAATTCAATCCCTTGTTGTACTAGTAGTACCAGTAGAGTACTGTAGTAACCCCTCTCTCTCTCTCTCTCTCCCACACACACATGCAGCCACAGACACGGGCAGTAATACTTTCTGCATATCTTTCAGTGCTATGAGACGGTACAGAGCAAGACAGACAAATGGAGAGAGAGAAGCGGACGACCGCGAAAGTGAGTGGGCGAGCTGTGGCACTGAAAACCATGCGTCCACTTCTGTTTCCTTGCCCATTATTATCTACAGAAACATTTCATCATTTCTGTTCGGAGAGAGAAGAGAGAGGGGTGTGTGATGAAGCAGGAAGGGGTCGTGTGTGTGCGTGCTGTTTTGGACTACTAGTGCCATTGCTGAGAGCACCCGTAATGATAAAGTAAGATGCTATCTATAAAACATGTACATCTCAGCAATAGACTAGATTAATAATAAACCACCTCAATAGTATGTCTACATGGGTATCTATAGCTCTCTAATCTATTGCCTCGTTTTTCTCTATAGACTATCTCTAGGTTAGTACATAGCTTTGTTCTCTCTCTTCATTTAATCTCTTCTAAGTAGGAAAATATGCTGACATGGATCTCTTATAGGGAGCCTATAGATAACCATTGCGGGTGCCCTGAGCAGCAGCAGTGAGCTTGGGGTTTTGAAATTTTATCTCTTGTGAGCGACCCCTTCCCCTTTCCTCATCCCCAATCTCCTCGGTGCCCACCAGTTTCACTGTCCCCTTAGATTCTTCCACTATGGCTGGCTAATGCATGCCCGGCCCCCAGTAACATAAAACCGTTCCGGGTTGCAGCCATTTTGGCTACTCATCACTGTAACATGTCAAAGCAATATTGTCACCTTGTCTTCCCTTCAATTCGGTGCTCCCGACTCTAACTATATATACTCTCTGTTTATTGATATGAAATACTAGTACCTATGAATGCAGGCGTGCTTTTATCAGCTGAGCTTACTGACAAAACATGCTTTCTCGGTTTCTCCATGCTGCAGAGAAATGCTCCTGATCGAGCGAACAAAATGTTAATGTGAGAAAATCCAACAGCAAGCAAACAAACGAAAGATTCCATGCACGTCGCAATTAGCGTAGTAGTAGACCCCTTTTAGCTTTTTCCTGCCCAGCCAATCTGCCATGCGAGAGAACACAACCACTAGGCACTGGAGCTTGTGATCTCATCACTGCATCTAATTACAATACATCGCCATTGCATGGTGCATGCACATGAGCACATACCACCACCAGCTAGCTCATTGGTAAAACAAAAGGAGAGCAATCTGGCACAAAAGAAAAGAAAAAAAAAGATTGTTTTTTCTTCCAGTGATTTTTGCGAGCTAGTTGAGGTCCATTGCCATCGTCCTAGAATGGCCCCTTGGCATGCCATCGTCAGCGTTGAGGCGGCGGCGGTGCAAGTTGCCGTCGTTGTCGACCTCGGCGTCGCCGCCCTCGGTGACGACGGACGAGACGTAGCTGGCGACGTCGGAGCTGATCATGGCGGCCGCTCTCGCCCGGAACTTGTGGCTGCAGCTGTAGCAGGTGATCTGCAGCTGCGTGGCGTCGACCTGGCGTATGGCGTGGTCGCGGAGCACGTGCGCGCGGCTGAGCTCCACCTGCGCCTGGTACCGCATCCGCCGCGCGGTCGCCAGCTCCTGGTCGGCGAGCTCCGCCTGCCGCTTCGCCTGCGCGCGCGCCTCGTCCGCGGCCGCCTTCTCGGCCATCGCCAGACGCAGCTGCTCGTGGGCGGCCTCCTTCAGCCTCGTCGCCGAGGCCGACACCTCGCCGCTGCTGCTGCTGCTGTTGTTGTTGCCATCATCGCGTGCGCCGCCGAACCCGATCGAGAGCTGCAGCCGCATTGCGTCGGCGACCGGCTGCCGCGACGGAAGAGCAGCAGCAGGCGAATGCGGCGAAGAGGAAGCGTAGTACCCAACGGCGGTGGCAACTGGAGTACCACCGAGGCTGCCGCCTGCGCAGGTGGTGGTGGTGCGCGGTGGCATGAGCTGCAGCTCCAGGCTGTGGGTAGTGTGGCATCCTCCTCGCCGGCCACCACACGGCGTCGGTGGCGACAGCGCCGGGTCAGTGAACCGGTGGTGGAACGCCGCGATGCTACCGCCAGCAGGAGCCGGCGCCGCAGCACGGGGACTCACCATTGCCGGACCACCACCACCAGTAGCAGGCCAGGCCACCGGGCTCACCACCAGGTCGCTCGACGGGCTGGCGCTGGACGCCGTCCGCGACAACGAAGCCGGCACCGCAAAAAGCTGCTGCTGCTGAGACGACGATGCTGCCGCCGGCGCACCAACCACGACGCCACCGCCGCGTCCCGGGGACGATGACGCCTCGGCGGCGCGTGGCCTGCCGGCGTTGCACGCGTCCTGGTGCTCGATGAAGCTCTCCACCCTGCGCATCAACATCCACACGCCGCATCTCGTTAGCGCCACTAAAAACAACCCCCACGCGGCACCAAACAAGCGAGGTGGTACTAATAACCGGCAACATAAACAGCCAGAAAGAAAAGTCTCTAGCTATAGCTTAGCTTTGGATTACACTAGTATTCTATGCGCATGGGTGAGATACTGAGGCGGACGGAGAAGAAGCCAAGGAGGCGATCAGGGGGGTTTTGTCAGGCGTGAAATTTTGGGCCCTGCAACCAGCTGCTAGCAATAGCATAGCCTGGGTTTCGTGGCCGTGGCATTGCATTAAATGGAGCCCCTGCAAAGGCAAAACACAAGCCAAGCTAACATCAAAGCAATGGCCAGTGCCGTAGTATATGTATGATGCATACGCTACGCCCACACGGACGGCCAGGCCACAGCCACACACATCGATTGATAGCCAGGGCGTCATCGGGAATTGTGCCTGCAGAGCTCGCGCTACATTGCCACATCTCTCAGCTAGGCTAGCTACCTCTCTCTCTCTCTTTCCTGTTGATGCCACAATACTACTCCCCTCCTGGGAGTAAATACTCGTACCAGAGGATGGCATGAATGAATATAGATATGCTACTGCTCATAAAGGGTGTTGCTGATGAGGCCTACAATGGCAAAGCGACCCCGCAAAAATTCTCCAGAAAAAAATCATCACGCCTTTCTCGCCCGCATTTGACAAAGATTATTGCAAAGGAGAAGATTGTATAGTACTATCTAGGTGTGTAAAAGATTTGGAGCGATATGTAATTGGCATGTTAAATGTGAGAATATGAGATTAATGGATGCATGGAGATGCGGCGGCGGCGGTGGCGGTGGCGGTGGCCGTACCTGGAGAAGACGCGGCCGCAGTCGCAGGTGTGGCCGCGGGTGCCGCAGGTCTTGAGGTGAGCCTTGTAGTCGGAGTGGACGGCGTAGGCCTTGGAGCAGCGGGAGCACGCCCACTGGCGGTGGCCGCTGTGCTTGCGGCGGAAGTGCTTCTTGATGCCGACGAGGTCGCCGAGCGCGTGGGAGGGGTCGTGGTGGAGGCACGTCGGCTCCGGGCACACGAACACCCGCTTCCGCGCCGCCTCGCCGGCCTCCCGCTTCAGCAGCTTCCACGGCACCTTGTGCCGCCGCCGGTGCATCTGCAGGTTCTGGTCGCGCTGGAACCCCTGGTTGCAGATCTCGCACACGTACCGGTCAGACTCCAGCAGCGTCCTCGGCGACAGCGACACCACCTCCGCGTCCGGGTCTGCTCCCGCCGGCCGGCGACGCGCGCCATTGCCCACAGATGTGCTCGTTAGCTACCTCCTCAAGACAAACACCGACCGGCGCAAGAACGCGCGTACGTAGCCGGTGTAATTGGATGTGTGTATAGAGCTCCACTTACCAGGTGTCCCGGCTGGCCGCCGCTTCTTCTTCGCGGCGGCACCGGCGGTGGCGATCTGCAGAGACCGGAACGGCTCCGTCGCCGCACCGGACGCATCCTGCGGCGGCACGGCCGTCGGCGCGCAAGAACTCAGCATGATGTCCGCCTCCGCGCGCGCACCGCCGGTGACCACTCCCACCTCTTCCCTTACAACCAAGAATTCCCCTTCCTCCTCCAACCTAGCCAATCTCTCCAGCTCTGATCACACAACTCCACAAGAACGGATCAATGGAACCGAGCCGGATATCTATCTCTATATAAGCCACAACAGTGAGAGATCACGGGGCCACAGGCTTCTAGCTAAGGCGAGCTCGAGGAAGCCGGAGAAGAGAATAAACAAACGAAAAGGGGAGGAGGAGATGCAGTGAGTGAGTACAGCTAGGAATCGAGAGGGAGGAGGAGGAGGATGAGGAGCAAAGGTGTTTGGAGCAGTGTTGTTTTTTTTGGCTTTGCTGCTACACAGACAACACCAAAGGGGGGAGATGAGAGAGGAGAGGAGAGGAGAGGGGAGGCAGCTTTCTACCAGCTTTAGGTTTTAGCAGCTTTCTTTTAGGATTGTATCATGTAGGGGGTGTGTGGGGGAGGGAGGGGGGATGGCCGGAGTTGGTAGGTGTTTTATTGGGTCTTCTTCCCTGTCCTAAAACCGGTGGCTTTGCAAAAACGTTGCAATTGCAGCATGGATATACTCTGGGTCCGGCTACGGCTGGGTTCCAAATAAAAGAGGTTTTTGGAAGAGAGTACATATATTAGATACTTCCTCTGTTTTATATTATAAGTCGTTTTGACTTATTTTTAAGTCATAACATTTTTAAGTTTGATAAAGTTTCTAAAAAAATAAAAACATTTTTAACATAGAACAATCATTTTATTAAATTATATAAAATGTTAGTTTTAATGAAATTAATTATGTTTCTTAGATTTTTTATAAATTTGGTTAAACTTCAAAATAATTTATAATATGAAATAATATGAAATGGAGGTAGTGTGTATATATATGAGAGTGCACTAACTAAAATACAACATGCAATATAAATAACCTTTTTATATATAAAGGAATATATTTATGTGCAATATAAATATATATGTGCGTGCTAAAGACCATAGTTTATTTTTTAAAATAGAAAAGGGGTACATTTGCTTGGAGGGCATGCCACATATGCTGTGCAAAAAAAAAATATTTTCCATTTATTTATTCTTATTTCTGTGTTATTGGAATTATCAAATCAAAATATTCGATGCAAATACGACATCAATACCTAAAATATAAAGTATATAATTTTTTTTGCACGGTCTGCAATGTATAACTTTAACCATTAATTTCATTCAAATACGAACCTATTAATGATGGGAGGTGCTCTATCGTGAAACGGCGTTTGAGCTCATTTCCCTTTTTTTTTAAGAAAAAATGTGGGTGTGGCTTGCTTTTTTTTTTCTTTCAAAACATAGTATAGGCATGAGCGGCGCACACACCTTACCATTGAAGACTAGTCATGTATATCTTGAGATTGATAGCGTTACCACATGTCTCACTATCAATGAATACGCACTACGCCGGACCAGGTCATCTCTGACGGGCCCAAACCCTCACCTTTGACGGGTTTGGTCTTGGTCAGTGATTAGTGGTCACTGATGACAAAATCACCTGTGACGGATGAAACACCCGTCACAGATAACCCATCTCTGACCGGTATATAAGTCATCTCTGACGGGTTAAAACTTGTCACCCGTCACAGATGAGTCATCAGTGACGTGTCGTAACTACCTGACCGTCACTGATGACTCATCTCTGACGGGTTGTAACTTACGACCCGTCACTGATGACAGGTGGCGGCCCATCACCTCTGACGGCTTCTAATGTATCGGCCCGTCACAGGTGAGGGGATACCAGTGACGGGTTGGAAGCAAAACTCGTCACTGGTATACCTCTGACGGGTTTTCCTTTCGGCCCGTCACAGGTGAGGGGATACCTGTGACGGTCCGCGGCCGGATGGCTCACCGGTGACGTTATCCCGTCTGACCCGTCAGAGGTAATGGTCACTAGTGACCAAATCGTTTGCCCGTCACAGGTATCCCGTCAGAGGTGTGAGGATCTGGCGTAGTGACGTCACCCACAAGGCCACAACTCAAAGAGTAATTAGCCGTAAATTTGAGTACATACGTCAAATTTAAAGCTTGAACTTGATGGACATGCTTTATCGTCACAAGGAATCTAATCAGCTGAGCTAAGCTTAATTCGTAACTTGCATTAGTTCCGTTGGCTCACAGGAGTACTAGAAAAGAGTGGAAGATTGGAGTACAATAGTGCATTTAGGTTTTCATACTGTAGTGCAGTAGTAGTAATTATTAAGTAATTTCATCCAATCAATTTCCTGTATAAAACAATGTGATTATTGGATTTCATGCTTGTGTAAGCACGTTATTACACGCCCTCATCAGTCACTTGCTGATAAAAGGTACTAAAAACAAGCACTTGAATTTAAGCATGCATTTTCATTTTTATTGAATCATGGAACTACCTGCCGACAAAAACTATATGCATGACGCTTAATTACACAAAAGTACAAAATTTCTACCACGACTCTCTGACCATGTGCTAACAAACACTGCAAAAAACTTAAAGCCGGTTCTGATCACAATCAAATCTTTCATGACTGGAAAAAACATGAGCTTTAGCATGCATTATCAGCAAAGGGAAAAGAGCACAGAACCTTCAGGTTACAAAAGCCACCAATACAGTACAGGGAAGAGGAGCAACAGTTCAGCATCAATCTGAACACTGCTGGTTACCAGGGCTTCATCATGTGTTTGCCAAAAGAAACATAAATTCACCATATTTAAGACACGACGCAGCTCGCGATCGTTAACGTTGAGGACTACGACTCATTGACCCTTCTCTACAGTTTGCTGTCTCTCACTAGGGTGTATGTAGCTGCAGTGTACTGCAGAGAGGCACCTGCACGCAGCTTACCCCATGTGTGGCAGCCGGCCGGCCGGCCGGCCGGCCAGCATCGTCGTCCTCAGCGCTGCAGCTCCCTCAGGTGGGGGAATGGCTCTGCATATCCATCACGTCCCGACGAGCTAGCGCGAGCTCGCTTGCTCTATTTGATCCGATTCTTTTTTCATGTCAAGACAACGCTATAGCTTCTCCTTTAATATATATCCAGACGCCATGGCGACGATGCAGGCTGCATGCAGAGCTAGAAGGGAGAGACAGAACAGAGCTGAAGGCGAATGATCAGATTGATAAACAATTAATTCGTCCGCGATACTGCTCGAGATGGGGATAGATAGATCGATGATTAATCTGTCTATTCTGGATTAAATTGCTGTTGTAGTGTCCCACTGTTTTGTTTATTGAACTTCCTTCGGATCTCTGCCTCGTGATTGGCTTTTGCTCGTCTTAAACATACGCTTTTGTCATGTTTCCGAGCCGAGCGGATTCGAGGTAGCCGATGGGAATGATTGGCTTGGACACTAGCTTACAGGATCAGATTATTAGTGTTTATTTATTATCAGTTAGAATAAGGTACACATACGTACTATGCATAACCACTGATATGCTAGTACAGCTTCGATCTCTAAGCTGCAAGCCTCCAAATGGAAGGATTTATTTTCGGCGAGCTGGTTCTTGCTGTACCTGCTGCTGCATATTACTTGTAGCATATATATATTTATATATATTGCTTTGTGTGATAGGCACAACACATGTAGGTACAGACGTACGTGCTCTTTGGCATTATAGCTAGTTAGGATTCTAATGACAAGGTCTTCATTAGATGGACCAGTGTACTGGATAGCTGTCTTCTTTTGCCCATCTGACCATCTCTTGTCAGTACATCTTACATAGTATATATTTATCCTCAGATCTATATCTGTATATCAGTTTGCAAAGGTATTAGTTGAATTCTAATTAGATGCTTTCTGCGGTCACGATCATGTGTTAAACAAGTTCTGAAAAAATAAATTATTTTGAACAAGTCAAACCTCAAAATCAATGTCTGTTCAGATATTTGCCTAAAAAATTACTTTCATAGTGTTATAGTTTATTGGGTTTAAATGTTTTGCAATAGAAATTTACTATCAATTGGGAAGCACCAAATTAAGGTGTGGTGCAGTCGTATGCACATGATTCTACCCACGCATATGCAGGTGCAATTTAAACAGAATTTTAGTAAGGCCAGGGATTTGATGTTGGTCCTTTTTTTTTTTGAGCGTGTGATAGATGGTGCACTCGAATGTTTATGCATGTGGTGTATGTTTTTTCGTGCAATCAAAACGCGACAGATGTTAAAAATGCAATTTCAGGACTGTACGTATCCATGTCCAACACGACATGAATGCAGCTGCACGTGCTTGTAATTTTGCAATAATATAGATGCAGGGAGCACTGAATATGCATGTCCGTACTGCAAAAATGTCGTCGATTAGCATGAATTCACCGATGCAAGTGGCTAGCTAGAGACTCAAGTTAATGAAAGGGCCAGATAATTATGAGATCGGTGTAGAAACTACAGACAAGACACAGTGCTCATCAGTCATCTGGCCGGACCCCGGACCTCGTGTGACTGATGAACGATATATGTGTGTGTATACTGTGTACTCCATTGTGTAATGTCCTGTGTACTCCATTGTGTAATGTCTCATCATCACCTGAGCTCTGAAGCCACAATCAACAACTGCATGAACACATATGCATGCAGATATCGATTGATACAGTAGCTAGGCTAGTGGATAAACTGTACCATAACATTTTGCAGGACAAAATCCTGCTCATATATAGGTTCATGGCAAATAGAGCAAGCATGCCAAACCAAAGGGAGAGAAAAGTGGACACAAAACAGAGAAAAAAAAGTAGCAAATTGCATGTACATTTGAATACCACCTGTACTAGATTGATGTCCCTGCATACAAGTCGATCATGCACAACCATGCTTGTAAATCTTGACTGGGACCTTGGCTGTGTCAAAATCAGAAAGAGAGAGTTTGACTGCCTCCTTTTCAGATCCTATAGTAGCCCTTTTGCATGAGAGGGTATATAGAAGTACACTAGCTAGTTGAAAGGCAAAATTAACAACTCTAACTACTGTTGACAACATAATGGGATACAGCAAAGCCAGTTAGATTGCTGTCTAGAGGTTTGGACATGGGGACAAATGTTGAATTGTTAGGCTAAGGAATTTTGTGGGGTACCCATGCTCCAAGACTGTAGGTATCGGAACGTACAGAAGCACAGAAACTTTGGAGAGGATCAATACAAGGAAGAACAAACAAGGAGGGGATCAAGCCATGATCTTCGTCCAGCGCTGCAAAACATCCCCCTTGAGTGTGACCAAATCAATGCCCCCATTGAGCCTCAATGATTAAAATGTAGCTGCAGTAGTTCACAAGGTCCCAGATTAGTCACATGGCCGGGTCAGTGTATATATATGTATAACCATATACTTATTTGTTTTCATATATTTCCTCCTTTTTTAATAACAAATTCAAAATTAACTCTTTTGTTCGAGCTTTAATATACCAATAATATCTTTTACATTACTGTGTTCTGGATGTGAATTCATATTTGTTAG